TCAGCACAGAGCCCGACACAGGGCTCGAACCCACGAACTGTGAGGTTGTGACCTGAGCCAAAGTCTGGCGCTTAACCGACTGAGCCACCCAGGCGCCCCATCCCTTTTGGGATTCTTAACAAAAAGAAACGAAGGTCACCTCCGGAGGGTCTCTCCCAGCCACCACTCCCCTCATCCTAACAACACACCTGCATATTTGTACTGAAGCTTATGACTTACCAAGTATTTCATATTCATTACCAGGCAAAGTAGAAATTGTCTCTTTCTACCAAACTGTCTCACCTTTTCCCAGATAAGAGTTTCGGACAAACCATGAGACAATAAGAGTAGACTATTTAACACAACAGCTGCCAGAGAAACCCTTTTTCTTTCTGGAACGCCATCGATTACAGCATTACAGAAACATCTGTGAAGTGCCCACTGTATTTTAGGCCCTGTGTTGGACTCTGGAGCTGCAAAGACAAATCAGACACACTGCGGCTCCAACTAAAATGGCCGGTAGACACGTAAAGAAATAATCACAATACAGTGGGATACACATTAGCCCATCGGGATGGGCGCAAGCCATCAGAGTACAGAGAGGGGGATGAAGAAGAAAAAATCCTATTCAGTTGGATGCATGGGTAGAGGGTCAAGATTCAGGTGGGCTTCATGCACGAGTTGATATCTAAGCTGTCTGGATGAGCCTACACTGAAATGTAGAGCACAGAGGATCAACTAAGCTTCCTTGTAATTTGAATGAAATGGTTTAACACTTAAAAGGTATTCTGTAGAGGGGCGCCTGGGTGGCTTAGTCAGTTATTTGTCTGACTCTTGGTTCCGGCTCGGGTCACGATCTCACGGTTTCTGAATTCAAGCCCCTGTGTCAGGCTCTGCGCTGCCTCTCCCCTGCCCTCTCTCTCTTTCTCTCAGATAAAGAAACGTAAGAAAATTAAAAAAAAAAAAAATTCTATAGAGACAAAGATAAGAGAAACACCTGTACGTTATTTTAAAAGACAGCTTTACTCCCCACGGTTGAGCTGTGACATAATCAAGGTGAAGGGGTTGGGCTGTGGCTCCTCAGAGATTCAAGAGCTTGAAGGTACACTTACTAGTGACCAAATGCTGGGAACAGTGGGTGACGTCAGATGTTCTGTGATGGGTGGAAGACTTAGTAAAACAATAGGGCAAAAGACTGGATGGGGGATCAATTTCACGGGAAGACCCTGGGGAGGAAAGAAAATGCCACAGGCCAGAACGGTGTTCTGTGGATCAGACCGAGCTCGATGACCTTGGACAAGCCACCCAGACATTTGCCCTGTCTTAAAATGGAGACAGCAATCGTAGCGAGAAGCAAGTGACATAATACACACGAAAGAGGCTTAGCGTAATGTGTGGAACCCGACGAATGGGCAAGAAAGCGCAGCCTCCCTCCTTACACTGGCAGGTGCATCGGCAGATCCAAGTTTTAATTCTGGCTCCTTCTTACTTCACGAGACCAGTGCTCTAACCCCCCGAGCTCCGGAGCCACTCTTTCTTTTTTTAAATCTTGCTCATCTCTGTTCTCTAAGGGGATAAGAAACTCAGGCTCACCTTACTCTGGTTGAGGGGTTGCCCTGTGCCCCAGTGTCGTGGAACACAGCAGGCATCCCTCATTTCTCAGAGCAGATTAAGGGGAAGTCACATTTTTATGCTCAGAGGGTGTATGTTCAGAACCTAGGACATAACACCTTTCGGGTATCTGCCCTGCTCACACCTGCTTCTCTGAGAACTGTTCCCCACCTTCAGGGCTCGGCCTGGGGACCCTGCCTCTCTGGTTATATAGGTGATTAGACCATGGGTCAACACCTGACACAAGTTAGAACCCTCAGCTTCTCTCCTGAGAAGCTGATGCTTGTGGATGGTACCCTGGCTGAATGGATGGCTTCCCTCACAGGGAGAAGAATAAAGCAAACCCACAGAAGGAAGTGAGCAACAGAGACCACGGGGCCTCAGAAGAGCCACCCCAATCTTTATGGTCCACTGTGTCTCTTTTTAAAAAAAAATTTCTTTCAATGTTTTTTATTTATTTTTGAGACAGAGGGAGACAGAGTGTGAGCACGGGAGGGGCAGAGAGAGAACGAGACACAGAATCCGAAGCAGGCTCCAGGCTCTGAGCTGTCAGCACAGAGTCTGATGCGGGGCTCAAACTTACAGACTGAGATCATGACCTGAGCTGAAGTCGGACGCTTAACAGACTGAGCCACCCAGGCGCCCCCAGCTGTGCCTCTTAACCTTGAGTTCTTTGAGACACAATAAATCCCCTCTTGAGCCTAAATTGACTGAGTTGGTCTATGACTTGCAACCGACAGGGCTTTGGCTTCCGGAAGACCTCCCCCCATCCCTGGACAGAACAGCGACTGCGTTAAAGGTGGGAGCGGACGTGCTATAGAGAAGTGAACCACTCGGCGGGGACCCTGTCCTCTCCATCCCAGGGCTGTCTGGACGGCTCTCACCTTGCTGTCGGCTTCCTCACAGGAATGTCATAAGCCCGGATAATGTTCACCAGCACCTTTATGTCTCCGTCGGACAGGTTCTGGGCCGTCACCTTCTTCCGGCCTTTTCTCCTTGGCCTCAGTGGTCGCTTTTGTTCTGCCAGCTTGAAAAGGCTTAGCCCCAAAATGCTAATGATTACAGAACAGGATTAGGACTCTAAGGAAAAGAAAGATCTGGAAAGTTGTGAGACAGCTTCCCAAATCTCCCCCTAGGTCCCTCAAAGGCCCCTGAAAAACTCTTTTGTCTGTTTAAGGAGGGTGGAAATCGCCAAGGAATTCTCCCGAGACTGGGGAGAGCCTCTGGGGTGGATCACTAAGACAGATTTCAGCTGCTGCCGATCAGAGGAAGAAAAGTGTGCTCGGGCCCCTCCCGCCTCGTGCTCTGCCTTGCTCCTCTCGGGTCCCTCCCCCTCAACTGTGCAGGTGCTCTCCTGATCTCCTTGCCCCAGGGGCCCAGCCACAAAGCAGGAAGGGGTGCTCCCTCTCCTGAGCCCCAGGGCGCTTCCCGGGGGGACTCCTGGGTCTGCTCCTTGACCTTGGGCAAATTTCCTCACCTCTTTACGTCTCTGTTTCGTCATCTGTAAAATGGGGATAATCACACCTCCCTTCTGGGGTTGCAGAGAGGATAAAGTGAGGGGGTGTATGCAGAGCACCCCTGCCCTGGTCTAGCACTTGCTGGATGCCCTGAAATGGTGGCTGCTGGGAAGATGACCGTGGCACGATGGCAGTGGAAGGGCAAGGGCAGGAGGATCCCCCTCATCCCTTCCCTCTCACTGAGGCAGAATCCCGTAAACACTTCCGGGAGGACACAAGCACTGTCGGGGAATCGTGGTGTGAGAAAGGGCCATGAAGCAGGTAATTCTATGCCGGCCCGGAGGCTGAACAGAAGCACAGAGGTGACTTTGTATCCGCAAGCTGACATTACCGTGCCCAGCGCCAGGGGACAAGGCCAGCTGCACAGAGCCGGCTCTCGCTTCTCTGCCTCCCCTGGTTGACCAGCGGCCTCTTTCCAAGGGGCACATGCCAGCCTTGGAGTTGGGTGGGGGGGATGGCTCCCGAGGGGCTCCTGCTTGTTCCCAGGATCTTCTGTCTCACAGAGCAACTGCTGTTTACCAGCACCTTCTATGATCAAGCAGAGTGCGAGGTGCCATACGCAGAATATTTCTAATCCTGACAAGTAGAACCTTTACCCCAGTTCTCATATGAAGTAACTGGAGGCTTCTGGGAGGTGACAGGTGACAGGTGTCTGGGAGGTGACAGGATTTGCTGAAGGCTCCCAGGGGGAGAACTGGGGTTCCAACTGTGGTCACTCTGACTAAACAGCCAGCTTCTTCCTCTTTTAAAAATACTTACATATATTTATCTCTAACTCACTTAAAACAAGAGCAGATCCATCACATGTTAACATAATGTAAAGGTATGAAAAATAGCTATCTTTCCCCCATCCAAAAAAAAAAAAAAAAAGAGAGAGAGAGTGTGAGGACAGTGATACCGTAAAACTTTTTCTGTGTGTGACTTGTTATCTACATTTTAGTGTTGTTAATTTATTTTTACTGAGATATCGTTGACATAGAACGAACGACTAAATTTCAGGCATAGATACATTTAGATACTGGGATATGACTGCCACCGTGGTGTTAGCTAACACCTCTAGAACATCACATAATTATCATTTCTTTTTTTGTGGGGAGAACAATTAAGATCTAGACACTTAGTAACTTTGAAGTTTATGACACAGTACTGACTATATTCACCTGCTGTGCCTGAGATCTCCGGAGCTTTTTTATCTACCAGCTGTGAGTCTGTAAGCCTCCAGCAACATCTCCCCGATTCTCCCAACCCCTAGCCACTGGTAACCACCGTTCTACTCTGTGTTTAGGAGTTTGGCTTCTTTAGATTCCACATAGAAGTGAGATCATACGGTATTTGTCTTTCTCTGTCTGATTTATCTCACTTAGCATAATGCCCTCAAGGTTCATGTTCTTGCCACTGAAACCTGTCTTATTAATCAGTCTGCCAGGACACCCACCTAACCCAAACTTGGGGACCTCAGAGGGACACCTTTGCCAGGGGGTCCTAACGTGGCACATCCTTTCCCTTTGTCGAAACTTCTCCCCTTTTCTCAGGACACTTGGCTGCCCTCCCAGGAGTCAGCATGGGAAATCTTGGCGGCTGGGACCATTAAATATAGAAACATCTTAGTTTAACACTAAGAACAAACCAAAATTAAAAGAAGAAAGAACATACCCTGAGCCTTCAGAACTTAATGCAGAAAGTAAAGCAGAAAAAGAAAAAAGAAAGAAATGAAATGGAAAACCAGCAAGAAATATCATCATCTATTCTAAAGTGTAAGTTTCATGACTGAAAAAATACAGTGACTGGACTCTGGGCCTGGAACGAAGAGGGAGGGTTTGCATGAATTTGTGTGGGTACAGCCCTTCCTTCTGTACATGGACGGAGGCCAAGTCCAAGAAGGGGACTGCCATGCATAGACATTTTTTGTCTCCTTCCCAGCTTGGTGGTGGAGACGAAGTGCATGATAGGAAATCACCTTTTTAGGAGACCAAGAGATTTAATCACAGAAAGGGTCAGGAAGTTAGTGGGGTACACAAGACCACCAGTATAGAAAGTATTTTTCATCTTTTATGCTTCCACTTTGAGTTGAGAACATGTAAGGATTATTCTAAGTACTAGGGAAATCAATCAAGCAAATGCAGTCAATCCCCAACTTGTATGTAAATCTCCATTCTCCCTGTTGCCCCTGTCCCCTCACCAAACACACAGCAGCTCTCTGCCTCCCCCCAGCCCCCGACCTGGGGCCGCAGTGCTCGTTCCCGGCCACCCCCTCTGTCTAGTGCAGGGGAGTGAGGGGCAGTGTGACGAGGGGAGGTGGAGGGCAGGAGCGTGGGCGGGAGGGCAATGCCATCAGACATGGTCTGATGGCAGCAAGGAACTGGCAAAGGCTGTGAAGTGGGCTTGGGAGGTGAGACGGTGTCTACTGGGCAATGATGGAGAGCATCTCATGCGACTTAACAAACCCCCCCAACTAAGGTAACCATTAGGCATCGATCACGTTTTACTGGTTCCCAGCAATACCGGGGGCCCAAGCGCATACCATGCAAGGATAAGAATTCTCTATTTACGTGAAAATTTTCATATAATACAATAAAAGTAATTTTTATAAGAAACGAAAGATTTGTTTGCTTTTACCTGATATTGGGAACTTCTTCTTCTACTATCAAATCCGAAAGAAGAAAATGGTGTTTTGCAATTAGGAAACGATTGATCACTGATTCTCTAACCTGAGGACAAACGTGTGTTTTATTTAAAATGTTCCTGTCACATAGACTTCACAGGTCACTCCCTAAACCCCTTTGAGTGTTCACCTGATGTCACCTCAGTTGTCCCAGCACACTTGCCCTTTCCTCCCCAGCGCTGGTCTCTTCCCCTATAAATCACCCCACTTTGCTTGTTAGTGTAAGCTCCCTAAGGCACAGGGGTTTCTGTTTTGTTCACTGCTCTATTCTTGAGACCTGGGAAATTTCCTGGTGGATGACAGTGGAATTTTTCAGAATGAATGAATAATTGCAAAAAATAGGACCGATCTTGAAGCACACACATTTCAGATTCTGGAGTTCTTCCTCTATTCAGATTGATTTACTTTTTTTTTTTTTTTTTAATTTGTTTTTAGAGAGAGAGTGCAAACGGTGGGGGGGGTGGGCAGCAGAGGGGAGAGAGAGAGTGAGAGTGAGGGAGACAGAGAGGGAGAATCCCAAGCAGGCTCCACACTCAGCACTGAGCCAGACGTGGGGCTTGATTCCAAGGCCTTGGGATCGTGACCTGAGCTGAAACCAGGAGTCGGATGCTTAACTGACTGAGCCACTCAGGCACCCTTAGACTGGTTTACTTTCTAATTATTCTTTATTTTTTTTTAAAGTTTATTTATTTTGAAAAAGAGAGTGCAAACGGGGCAGAGAGAGGGGGAGAGAATCCCAAGCAGGCTCTGTGCTGTCAGCGCAGAGCCCAAAGCAGGGCTCGAACCCACGAACCATGAGATCATGACCCGAACCGAAATCAAGAGTCATACGCTCAACCGAGCCACCCAGACGCCCCTCTAATTATTCTCCAAATAGAGGGCCTCTGAAATGTCATAAGTTGTTTTTTTTATAAGGAGCTGCAGGGTATCAACTGGATGGGAAAAACATAGTGTAGTGACTGTAGCATTTCCTACAAGTTACATTTACTAAACGAAGGAAGGGCAAACGGGTATTTCAAGTTTTTAGTGCATTAGGGCAGTTAGTATGTGGCTCATAAAACTTTTTCATTACAAAGGTGATATGATGCAAATATTCAAATATGAGAAAAATCACGACTTAGAAATTGTGTCCCCTGTACTCATACTCCACGTAAGATAACCACTGATAATAAGCTGAGATACATCCTAGTGTTTCACGTGTTCAAATTAATTTCTTATCTGTAATTATGAGCAAATAAGTGACAGTTAAGTATCCCATAGATAACTCGGCAGAATAAAGACCACTCTCCCCCCAGTCCTAGGGTGCTGGCTATGTTCCCCCGGTGGGGACTCTGTAAAATGATTTTCCTTACCTGTTGGAGGTACTTGGCTACCATGGCCCTATGGGGATCTATGTGGTCCTTGGTTTCAATTACATTTCTGTCTCGTAACCGTTTCTCATAGTCCTAAGATGAAAAAGGAATAGTTTTATGATTTAAGTACTAGTACCCCTCCCCCCCCAGGCCCTTCTTGAGATGACAGAATTTATCCCATGTGGTTTAAGTAATAAATTATGGGTCTAAATGTGTCTTCCACCTTCCTCTTCACAATTGGTTTCAAAATTGATCTTTGACGCAGTATGCCGGTTTTGGAATCAGTTGGTTGAACTGCCTTAGAGCAATTACAACTCAGGATGTTCATGTAGGAAGACACATAGATACAGAGATAACAGAGAGACTCCAGAAGCTCAGCTCACCCAAGCAACTTAGCCGAAGCGTCTGCTTACATTTTTGTCTTTTCTATTTTAAGTAGAGCAATGGCAAAAGTAGTAAGTAGCCTCTGGCTGCAGCTGATTTGGGTTGCCTCCCTGGAGGAGAGTGGTGGGTGGGTTAGCTCTGTCTTAGGCTGCTGTGCTTTGCTCTGTCAATAAAATTTCCGGGGGGCCGGGGAGCTGCCATGTTCTGCTTTAGCCCTCTGGCCACAGCTCAATATCCAGGGTCGCTCCTAACCCAGCCTGGGCAACTCAAGCCAGCTGTTCCCAAGATTTTTAAGCTTGGGACAAGAGGACACATCTCTCTCTGCTGGCTGAAGCCACTAGATGTGAGCTTGGATGATGCCGGTGACCATGCAGCCAAGTAGAGAATCTGCCCACAACGAGGACCAAGAGAAGCCCAGGCAGGACGGAACTGCGTCCTGGTGAGTGTTCAGGTTCTGGATCCAGGTGTCCTTGAGGCACACGTGAACTCCTGCCATTCACGCCCCCTTAGATATTTAACCCATTTTGGCATTTCATCATCTAATAAGCTTTCTCGGTGCCCAAGGTAGCTTCAATTGGCTTTTTATCACTTACCATCAGGAGTCCCAACTAATACAAAGAAGAACCAAGTCATCAAAAATATTCTCCAATAGTTTCTATAGTTTCTGCATAAAAAATCATACTGGGCTCCGTTTCTAATGACTCCCCATTTACCTCAGCAAACACTAACTTGCCCGTCAGGCTTTCACTGGCCTGTCTGGCCTACACTGGCCTTTCACCTGTAGTTCCTCAAAGGCTCCCCACCTGCCAGGGACCCCTCCACAGCCAAGCCTGTGCCCAGCCCCACCTCCGTGCCGCCCCGCCCACCTGAGACCCCAGGGCCTACCCCCCCCCACGCCGCCCCCCACCCGCAGTGTTTACCGGGCTTCCTAAATATTTAATGGATTAAAATGGCATTGAATTACTGACAGTTATAATGTGGCAGGATAATTTCCCATATTAACACGTAAGATGCTTTTCAGACTTAAAATTCTAATGTCTCTTAGTTTATATGTCCTTATATTGGGCAAAGAGACTACTTAAACATTAAGTGTAAAAAAAAATAATGGAAAAGTTATGTGAAGCGTTCGAAACGAGAAACCAACATCGCTATGGAGAACACGACACGAAGAAGATACACTCATCATAGTACAAGCCAAATGGCACAGACATATTTTATTGCTGTATTAACTCCTCCATGGCAATTTCTTACCTGGAATACCTTTTCCATAATTTCCCGGTCATATGCTGGAATTTGCTTGTAATTTCGGAATTCTGGCACCTCTTGGCTTCTAAGACAAAGAAGCCGGAATCGTTTGGATCTATTTAACTCCTCATCTGAAACAAAGTTAAATTCTTGCTGCAGCTGTTCCAGTCGAAAGAAATCAGGGACGTAGGATTCACCGCTAGTAGCAACCTATGGAAAACAGAAGAGGCACAGCTTTGGATGGCAGGCAGATTGCATAAGAAACCCAGCACTGAGCTCTCGGTTTGGGAATGGAAGCTTAAGAGTCTTAGCTCCACCAAAAGTCTGCTAGAACTGATACATGAATTCAGCAAAGTTGCAGGATACAAAATCAATGTACAGAAATCAGTTGCATTCTATACACTAACAATGAAGCAACAGAAAGACAAATAAAGAAACTGATCCCATTCACAATTGCACCAAGAAGCATAAAATACCTAGGAATAAATCTAACCAAAGATGTAAAGGATCTGTATGCTGAAAACTATAGAAAGCTTATGAAGTAATTGAAGAAGATTTAAAGAAATGGAAAGACATTCCCTGCTCATGGATTGGAAGAATAAATATTATCAAAATGTCAATACTACCCAAAGCTATCTACATTCAATGCAACCTAATCAAAATTGCACCAGCATTCTTCTCAAACTAAGAACAAGCAATCCTAAAATTCATATGGAACCACAAAGGCCCCTAGTAGCAAAGTAATTTTGAAGAAGAAGACCAAAGCAGGAGGCATCACAATCCCAGACTTTAGCCTCTACTACAAAGCTGTCATCATCAAGACAGCATGGTATTGAGAAAACAGACACATAGACCAATGGAATAGAATAGAAACCCCAGAACTAGACCCACAAACGTATGGCCAACTCATCTTTGACAAAGCAGGAAAGAACATCCAATGGAAAAAAGACAGTCTCTTTAACAAATGGTGCTGGAGAACTGGACAGCAACATGCAGAAGGTTGAAACAGACCACTTTTCTCACACCATTCACAAAAATAAACTCAAATGATAAGACCTGAATGTGAGACAGGAAACCATCAAAACTATAGGAGAAAGCGGAAAATGACCTCTCTGACCCCTCAGCCGTAGCAATCTCTTACTCGACAACCTCCCCAAAGGCAAGGAATTAAAAGCAAAAGAATTACTGGGACCTTATGAAGATAAAAGCTTGCACAGCAAAGGAAACAACAACAAAACTAAAGGCAACCAGCAGAATGGGAAAAGATATTTGCAAATGACATCGGACAAGGGCTAGTATCCAAAATCTATAAAGAGCTCACCAAACTCCACACCCAAAAGCAAATCCCAGTGAAGAAATGGGCAAACATGAATAGACATCTCTAAAAGATCATCCGATGGCCAACAGGCACATGAAAAGATGTTCAGCGTGCCCTTATCAGGAAATACAAATCAAAACCACACTCAGGTATCACCTCACCAGTCAGAGGGCCAAAATGAACAAATCAGGAGACTATAGATGCTGGAGAGGATGTGGAGAAACGGGAACCCTCTTGCACTGTTGGTGGAATGCAAGGTGCAGCCACCTGGAAAGCAGTGTGAGGTTCCTCAGAAATAAAAATAGACCTACCCTATGACCCAGCAATACACTGCTAGGAATTTATCCAAGGGACACAGGAGTACTGATGCATAGAGGACTTGTACCCCAATGTTCATAGCAGCACTCTCAACAATAGCCAAAATTATGGAAAGATGTCATCAACTGATGAATGGATAAAGAAATTGTGGTTTATATATACACAATGGAGTACTCATTAGGCACTGAGAAAAAAATGAAATATGGCCTTTTAGCAAGCGTGATGGAACTGGAGAGTGTGATGCTAAGTGAAATAAGCCATACAGAGAAAGACAGATACCATATGGTTTCACTCTTATGTGGATCCTGAGAAACTTAAAGAAGCCCATGGGGGAGGGGAACAAAAAAAAAAAAAAGAGGTTAGAGTGGGGAGAGAGCAACATGAAGAGACTGTTGAGAACTGAGAACAAACTTCTAAGGGTTGATGGGGGGGGAGGAGAGGGTGGATGATGGGTGAAGGAGGGCACTTTTGGGATGAGCACTGGGTGTTGTATGGAAACCAATTTGACAATAAATTTCATATATAAAAAAAAAAAAATAAATAATAAAATCCCCACAAGGTGCAGTGAGCGAACTGGCGGCTGAAATGGTCTTGGATCCGCGTCCTTACCGGCCGTGTGACCTCGAGCAGGTGACTCTGAGCACCCGTACTCAGGTGCCTTTCCAGGGGAGGGGCCAAACAAGGCCTTTCGTTAGGGTTTTACAGAGGTTAGCGGTAAGAGGAACAGCAACACCGTAACAACAGCTAATATTTGTTGCACACCGATTGTGTGCCCCGCTAACTGTTGAGATGAGGCGTTGCACGTCGTCATGGCCACACTGCGAGGGTGTCACAGTGCTTAGAAGCATGAGTGCTCGCCCTGATCACACTGCCAGGCAGGGGCAAAGCCGGCCTTTAAACCTGTCATTCAACCCGGCACTCGTGTTCTTAAACACTATCGCACTGGAGAACACAGTGCGAAAGAAAATGTGTGTAAAGGGTCGAGCCGTGTCTATTATTGGCACAGCAAGTGGAGAAATGCAGTGTGTGCACGATGGTGCCACGTTACCGAGATTAGCTGCATCAAAGGGGCATTGTTGGGGTCATTCGGGTCGAGCTTGGACTCTGCTGCCCACTTGGCCAACTTTTTCAAGTCTGTCAGTCCCGATGTGCCGATGGACGAGATGGCATCTGCTCTCTTCAAAGCACTGGAAAAGAAGTTAATGCCGTGAGATGGGCTTTTTCACAGAGCACTTTGCCTCAGGCCTGCAAAATCCCAGGGACGGCACTGCCTAAGGAGGCTGTTATGTCTAAGGGAGAAAATCTGATCATAAGGAAGGAGCTCTGCTGTTTTTGTTTGCTCGATGACTGCTATTAAATACGTTTTGGGGGGTGCCTGGGTGGCTCGGTCGGTTAAGCGTCTGACTCTTGATTTTGGCTCAGGTCACGATCTCATGACTCAACAGTTGAAGCCCCACGTCGGGCTCTGTGCTGACAGTGTGGAGCCTGCTTGGGATTCTCTCTCTCTTCCCCTCCCCCTGCTCACTCTGTCTCTGTCTCAAAAGAATAAATAAATAAACATTAAAAAATACACGTTTCAGGGACAATAGAGAAGAGTGAATGGTAGAAGAAAATACTGCACACCACACATCTGATAAGGGATTAATGTTTCAAGTATATATGGAACTCATAACTCAGTAGCAATAACCCAAATAATCTAATGAAAACACGGGCAGAGGACCACAACAGACGCTTCTTCAAAGAGGCCATCCAGATGGCCAATAGACACGTGAAAAGATGCTCAACCTCACTTGTCATCAGGGAAATGCAAATCAAAACCACAGTGAGATATCACCTCGCACCTGTTAGAATGGCTAAAATAAAGAACACAAGACATAGTAAGTGTTGGCGGGGATGTGGAGAAAAGGGAACCCCCGTGCACTGTTGGTGGGAATGTAAATTGGTGCGAACACTGGAAAACAGTCCGGAGGCTCTGCAAGAAATTACAAGCAGAACTGCCATATGATTGAGCAATTCCGCTTCTGAGCATACACCTGAAGGGCACAAAATCGCTGTCCTAAAGGGGTGTCTGCACCCCCATGATTATTACAGCATGATTTACGAGAGCCAACACATGAAAACAACTGAAGTGCCCCTCAGTGGGTGAGTGGATAGAGAAAACGTGGTATGTCACTCACCATAAAAAAGGAGGAATCCTGGGGCGCCTGGGTGGCGCAGTCGGTTAAACGTCCGACTTCAGCCAGGTCACGATCTCGCGGTCCGTGGGTTCGAGCCCCGCGTCAGGCTCTGGGCTGATGGCTCGAGCCTGAGCCTGCTCGATCAGTTCTCCCCTGTCTCCCTCCCCTGTTCAGTGCCTGGTTCTCTCTCTGTCCCAAAAATAAAAAAAAAAAAAAAAAAAAAAAAAAAAGGAATCCGGCCATTTGCAACAACATGGACGGAGCTCGAGGGCGTTGTGCTGGGTGAGATGAGTCAGACAGAGCGAGGCAAATAAGGTGGGATCTCACTTCTATCTGGAATCAAAACCAAAACCCAAAACCAAAACAAAACTTGTAGAAACAGAGAACGGGTTGGTGGTGGCCAGAGGGGGGGCGGGAGAGGCGGTGGCCAAAGGCGGTCAAAAAGTCCAAAGTTCTCGTTATACGATAAAGACGTTCCAGAGGTCTGATGCACAGTTAACAGTACTTCACTGCACATTTACAAACTGCTAAGAGAGCAGATCTTGAAAGTTCTCACGGCAAGGAAAGCACAACCTGCAGCTACGTGTGGTGATCGATGTAAGATAGACTCACTGTGATTATTTCACAATATATCCACTTATCAAATCATTACATGGTACACCTTAAACTCATGCCATGTGTCAGTTATATCTCAATAAAACCAAAAAAAGAAAAACAAGTATCCCTACAACCCTGCCCAGGGCGTAGAAGTGTCCCGAGTCCCTGGATCCGGGCCAGTGAGAAGGAGAATGCGCATTCGGTTCAGGGTGCCCTGAGAGCCTCACTTCCCACTCACCTGGGGACCCCTCGTAGCTGAGGCCAAAATACAAGAGGAAAAAACACGCACAACGGATTGGGACACGACTGAATTCCCAGGAGGCCAGCGCTCTCAGCACCTTTGCGTCAGGGCTTTGTTAACGGAGCTGTGTCTCTTGCCGCTCACATTGTGTTTTACCTCCTCTCCTGAGAGTGGGAGCTTTTGTCCCGGGTGTGAAACTCAGTGGAATGAGGACAGAATGCCGAGGCTCGAGGCCTCCACTGGACGTGACCGCCCATCTCCTAACTGAGGAGGTGCTGACCAGATGTTCCTTGTTCTCGTCACAGGGACATCGGAATCGGGACGGAGAAGGCAGAAAGGGAGCGGAGCCTGGCCCGCTCTGTTTCCCCTCATGTCAAAAATGACAGTCTGTGACTTACAAGCTGTCTTCTTGATGATCAGGATAAGTCCTTTTATTTATTATTATTATTATTTTTAAGTGCTTATTATTTTTGAGAGCGGGAGCACAACAGGTGAGGGGCAGAGAGAGAGGGGGTCAGAAGATCTGAAAGTGGGCTCCACACTGAGAGCAGAGAGCCCGATGCAGGGCTTGAACTCACAAACCTCGAGATCATGACCTGAGTCCAAGTCTCATACTCAACCAACTGAGCCACCCAGGTGCCCCAAGTCCTTGTATTTTATGGTGGAGGCAACGGAGGCCCAGAATGGTTAAAGATGAACTCAAGACCCATCTGTTGGGGCAGGACAGAAGCCAGACTCGAACCCAGGCCACCTGGCTCCCATAGTCCAGGCTGCCTGGACAGGGACCAACCACAAGGAGGTGGGGCCTGCCTAGGGGTAAATAGGTGAGGTACAGAGTGCCCAAGGAGCTAGCAATCAAGGGAAAGAACTGACAATAGGGACCTTTATATAACCAGAAGGCTCTATAACAATCATCATTCACACTGAGGACCACCTATACGCAATCATAGGCTCTGCATTTCCCCCCCTGTCTATAAAATGAAGAAAAAGAATACTTGAAGAATGAAGAATGAAGAATGAAGAAAAGAATACTTCACAGAGTTACCGGAGAGATTAAACAAGGCAAAATGCTTTTTGCTGTTTCTGGCACTGCTAAACATCTAATATTTATTAGGCTATTAATATTTTAATCTTTACCTCAAGTACCATAAAAAACCATGGAATTACTAGCACATGAGGAAAAAGGGAAAGAATGATATTGCAAGCTTCCCGCCCGCCCCCCGGATATCATTAATGCAGAGACATTACTCATCAATTTATTATAGACACACATCACCTTCTAAATCCGATGTTCTGCTGTGACAGTGGAGGAATCAAAGGGATCCCATTTTCTCCAATGGCCCATGCCACGCTGTTGGACACTTTCCCCGAGGTCATGAGAATCAGCTGATTGCTACCATCAGCTTCAAACGAGAAGGGCATTCCTAGGGAGACACCAGATTACACAGACGCTGTTTAGGAAAAGGGAACGAGCCCAGTCTTGGTGAGAAAGCAGACAGTAGACGAACGGAAGAGAGAGGTTAGGGCTGGCAGGACAGAACACATAATTCACAGCAGCGGCACTGAAATTCTTCAGGCAATGACGTGCAGAATAGGCCTCTTGGTTCTCTCTCTGACAGCAGGGTGTAGAGGTGACAATGAACGAGGCGCTTTGGAGTGGGACCATTGGGTGCATATTCTGGTTCTGCCGCTTAACAGCTGTGTGACCACAAACAGATGACCTAACTTCTCGGAGCCTTAGTTTCTTTATACATAAAATAGGGATAATAATAATACCTCCTAAAAAAGATTCCTGTGAAGACATCCATTTATTCACTCATCCAGTGGATACTAATTTGAGCTTCTGCTTGGCTCCAGGGACTATTCTCGGCGCTGCAGATGGCAGTAAAGACACAAAACTGATGAGAATCCCTGTTCTCAAGGAGTTGCTATTCCAGCAGGGGAGACAGGCAGTAAATAAGAGAAATGGGAGGAATGTATGGTTTGTTAGAGAGTGAGAAGTGTGAAGAGAAACCATAAATTAGGGAGTGTATACAGACAATGTGTATTTGGGGGTGGGTGGGAAAGGGCTGAACTTTTACATGGGGTGGTAAGGAGGGGCTCCACAAGAGGGGACTTTTGAGTCAACGCTAGAAGAAAGTAAGGAAGTGAGATGATTTCTTGGGAAAGAACATTTGTGGCAGAAGGAACAAGTCAAGTGCCCTAGGGAGGGAGTGCACCCGAATAAGGAGCCTTGTGTTAAGTGGGGTCTTACATGCAGATCACTTAGTGCTCGGACCACTCAACAAACGTTAGCTATTCCTAAGCTACTGCGGCAACAGTAAGCCTCACTTACTGATTTGGCTTCTACCCATTGGAAATTAATGATAAAAATCCTCGGGGCAGTTTGTTTAATCAAATAAAAGAAGAAAAGATTTTCAAGCACTAAAAATAGTGACTTAGGGGTGCCTGGGTGGCTCAGTCAGTTGAGCGTCCAACTTTGGCTCAGGTCATGATCTCACAGTTCGTGGGTTTGAACCCCACATCAGGCTCTGTGCTGACAGCTCAGAGCCTGGAGCCTGCTTCAGATTCTCTCTCTCTCTCTCTCTCTCTCTCTCTGCCCCTCCTTCACTTGTGCTCCTTCTCTTTCTCTCTCTCTTCCTCAACAATAAATAAATAAACATTACAAAAAAATCGTGCCTTCATGTCCTGGACTTACAGTTAATATTATTAGCACAAAATAATACCTCTATTACACTGTAATAGCACCTTTGTGTTTTTTTCAGAGATCTTTCCTGTATATTGAACATCCACTTTAATCTTCAAAATAACCCCAAAAGACATTAAAGGGGGTATCCTTAGATTCATTTTATGAGTGAAGAAGATATTTAAAGAGATTACATAATTACTAGGGTCACAGACTTTATCAGTGTGAGAACAGGAACTAAAGCCTAGGTCCCAGACTTTTATCTTATTTAAAAATTATTTTTTAATGTTTATTTATTTTTGAGAGTGAGACAGAAAGACAGAGTGTGAGCTGGGAAGGCGCAGAGAGAGAGGGAGACACAGAATCCGCAGCAGTCTGCAGGCTCTGAGCTGTCAGCACAGAGCCTGACGCTGGACCTGAACTCACAAACTGTGAGTTTATGACCTGAGCCGAAGTCAGACGCTTAACCAGCTGAGCCACCCAGACACCCCTAGGTCTCCAGACTTTTAGGTTGATGATTGGATTTGAGCCCCAAAGAATTCTTGCAGATAAATTTCCAAATATGTGCTCACAATAAAAAAATCACGAGACACACGGAGAAACAAGCCACCATGAATAAGAAGCAACAGAATCAGACCAATAAGCAGATAGGTACTGAAATGATCAGCTATAGAATGTTAAAAAAATATTTGTAACATGTTTTTAAAAATAAATGAAGTAATGAAGGAATAAAACAATGAAATGGTTGAGAGTCTGAGGAAAGGACAAACATTATCAGAACTGACCAGACAGATTGGAAAAGAACAAAATAGAATTTCTGGAGGTGAGCAATCCAATAATTAAAATGAAAAACTCAGTGATGAGTTTCAATGATTAGACACAGCCAAAGAGTGAATTCATGACTTGGAAGACAGATTTAAAGAAGTGTCACACAATACAGCAGTGAAAGAAAAGGATAAGCAAATACATTATAGAGGTTAAGAAACATGGTAGACAGAGTGAGAAGGTCCATTGTATATGTAATTACAATTATAGGGGATAATAGAGAGAATATTAACTAATAATCTCCCTATTATAATATTTAAGTTTTTAAAACCTTTTCAGCCTTATAAATAATCCCCGGATATATATCTTATATACACAAAACTTTGTCCTCATTTCAAATTATTTTCTAAGAAAAGATTCCTAGAAGAAGAAACTAAGGTATCAAAGGCATTTTAAAAGTCCTGATTCACATTGCCGAACTACTTTATACTTGCATAGTTTTATGAATTTATTGGCCACCAACGGTATAAAAAATGACTGCAAAAAATTGTATGTCATCATTTTAATTTGAATTTCTGAAAGCAGTTTTATAATTACCTGGTTGTTTGAAAACGAAAAAAAAAAAGTTATGTTCAAATCTGACAGTAAAACCGTGAGCCACTGAGGATAATGAGCTTTCCATACCACTTCCAACACCCTCGTGGTCCAGGGTCACATGCTGGTTACTGCTAAACTCCACTTCTTCAATGGGAGCCCTTCCAGTGACAATGGTCGTTTCAGGAATAGGCAGAAACACTTCTGCCAGCAAAGTGGTGCCACTGTGTCCAACTGTTTCGTATACCTGAAATCGAGGAAGAGAAACAGACAAATAAAAGTAGTAAGAGTGTGCTCACTCCCAGAGTTTAGTCCATTTATCTGTCAATCACTGTTCTAGCCCAGAACACCCATTTCTGAGTGGAAAAGCTGAGACGTGTTCTGGTTCCCACGGAGACTAAATTGCACCGTATTTGTGGCCAAGTTGTTTACATCCTGTCCTCTTGTCTGGCCTACTTTCCAGACAAGAAAGTAGAGAGAGAGAGGGGTAGAGAGAGGGGTTAATCAAAGTAGCAGTCTACCACAACTGTTTCCATTTCAAACTGATACTCAGGTTATCTGGGGGAATGGGCTCCTTCCTTTTCCTGGCTTATGTTATTTCAGAAAGTGATGCCATCAGGTGGATTGGGTGAGATAAAGCGGACATGCCACCAGATGATTTATTATTTACACCAACTTCAAGGTCAACAGGAGAAGTATCATACCTAGATGTACTCTAGAGTATCAGGTTCAAATCTACTATTTAGCACATCTTTCAGATTCTTCCCTTCAAGAGCTCATTTTATTTGTTTGCTGAAACCGTACCAGCTCCTTCTCAGACCTTCTCCCAAGCAGGAGCAAACTAGACCAACGGTGGCTCTAGTTACTGTGGCGTGTCTTATTATAATGCCGTCACTATGAGACGAAGAATCCAGTGTCAAGGCAACCATTGATTATGAATGTACACTGCAGCTTCAAGAGGAGCCTTTGTGCCATTGGATCAAACTTCTCTTGTATCCTTGGGTCATTTCTCTTTTGTGGAAGAAGATGACAAGATACCCACAGTTCTGCTGGCTTCTTTCCTGTTATTCTTTCCTTCCAAGAGGTCCCTGTGGCTGGTACACGTTTCTCTAAAATGCCGATTCCACTCCTTTCACTTTTACTAATTAGATCTTCATATTTTTCTTCTTGTGCAGTAGAGTCCCGCTATTGCAATAGACTTGTGCAGTAGTCTTCCCACGTACCGATGGAATGCACAAAGATGACACTACGGACCCTCTGGACCCCCTCCACTCACCCCCTCCCATTACCAGGTGTATGATACGAATTCTTTTCGAGGATGAAGATGAGGATGATTTTGTGCCAGGCTGCCATCCTGGCCCCATCTCCCGGGTATCCACCAGCTTGCATTTGCCACATGGCTGACTAAGCTTGGAGGGTCTACTGGGGCAAATACTACATAAAGCGCTCACATGCATGCACACAAAAGAGGGAGGGGCAGGGAGGGAGGGAGATAGAGAATTCCAACTAGACTCTGCACCAGCAGAGTGGAGCCTGATGTGGGGCTCGAACTCATGAACCGTGAGATCATGACTTGAGCCAAAATCAACAGTCAGGCACTTAACCGACTGAGCCACCCAGGTGCCCCTGAACGTTTTTGCTTTTTAAAAAAATTTTTTTTTAATGTTTTATTTATTTTTGAGAGAGAGAGACAGAGCAGGAGCGGGGGAGGAGCAGAGAGAGAGGGAGACACAGAATCTGAAACAGGCTCCAGGCTCTGAGCTGTTAGCACAGAGCCCGATGCAGGGCTCAAACTCACAAACCGTGAGATCATGACCTGAGCTGAAGCTGGACGCTCAACTGACTGAGCCACCCAGGCCCCCCCCCCTTTTTTTTTTTAATAAGGAAAAATGGATTCCATCTGACCAAGCCAAAAAAACACCCACAATCTTTCCACACTTTTCACCCTGCTCTTTCCAGGTAGCATCAGTTCTACTTAATGCTCAGGTGCAATGCTATTTTCAAACAATCAGAAAATGGGCACCCTGGGTTTGGTGTTTGTAAGCAGCTTTCTGTATAATTAAGTTTGATTTTGTTTTTTCCTAAGTCAGGGTGCCAACCTCGGCATTGCTGGCAATTCCTCACTGTGGTGAGCTGTCCCGTACAGTGTGGGATGTTCCCCAGAATCCCTGGCCTCCTCCCGTTAGAGGTGCCACCAGCTCCCCGCTTGGTAGAATTAAAATGTCTCCAGACACGGCCACATGTCCCTGGGGTGCCAAAGTCACCTCTGCTTGACAAACACTGCTCTGAGCAAAATGAGTGCTTGTGTGTGTGTGTCTGAAAGTGGAATGTTATGGAAAAACATGACAGGAAATATAATTGACTTACATTCAGTGTTCAAAAATTCTTCTGTTGTGTAATGCAGGGCAGCAATGAATTCAGAATAGCGATTACATCCACGGCTACCAACTCGAGATGATGTTTTTTAAAAAATGTATTATTGGGGGTGGCTCAGTTGGTTATGTGTCCAACTCTTGATTTCCGCTCAGGTCATGATCCCAGGGTTGTCACATCGAGCCCCGCTAATGTGCTGTCCGCCCAGAGCCTGCTTGGGATTCTCTCTCTCTCCCTCACTCCCTGCCCCTCCCCCATTCACACATGCTCTCTCTCTCTCTCTCTCTCTCTCTCTTAAATTTTTTTTTTAATGTTTATTTATTTTTGAGAGAGACAGAGACAGAATGTGAGTGGGTTAAGGGCAGAGAGACAAGGAGACACAGAATCCGAAGCAGGCTCCAGGCCCTGAGCTGTCAGCACAGAGCCCGACGTGGGGCTCGAACTCATGGGCTGTGAGATCATAACCTGATCTGAAGTCGGACACTCGACCGACTGAGCCACCCAGGCGCCCCTCTCTCTCTCTTAAAATAAATAAACTTTAAAAAATGTATTATTGAACTTTAATTAACATACAATGCTATATTAGCTGCAGGTGGGTGTACAACCTAGTGATCTGACAATTCTTTTTTTTAAATTAATTTTTAAAAAAATTTACATCCAATTTAGTCAGCATGTAGTGCAACAATGTTTTCAGGAGTAGATTCCTTAATGCCCCTTACCCATT